CTCAGCATTGTAATACATTATAAAACAGTATGCAATAATAACTTATTGAGTGTACATTTTAATTATAATTCAAATTATTAAATGGATGCCACCTTATCCGCTTGTTAAGTCTGACGTCACGTGTCACCGCTTCCGTGTCCAAACGCTCTATCAGATACCACGAGAAAACAACAAAAGGTGCTAATATACACTCACAATGTGATATAATACTACCAAAAAAAATTATAATCCTAACCTTTAACTCTATACCGAAATCCCAGATAGCCAGGCAATGAAAATATAAATAAATAAATATAAAAATTATTTGTGTTTGGGACGCTGTGAGCATGGAGACTGTAGTGTAGACCGTAAGTTTGAAAACGTTTAGCTTAAATGTTTAATATGAATAAACAGTGCTCTTAAACGGCTGCTGAGGTAATATTCTCAAGGGAAGCGAGTTGTGGCTTGGACCCGGAAACAGCGCTTCTTACGTCACCACTTAACAACCGCTTGACAGTGGACTCGAACTTGTCGAAACAATATCTACCTCCAGCAATGTTAAAGCCTTAAAATCGATAACATTGTGTGCATCTTATAATATTGGTTCTTTCCTATAATGTACAGTTGACTGAATGCTCTGTGACCTTTTGCCTGGTTGTTAAAAAGTGCCTTTTGAGGCACCTTTACTTTATATAATGTAATTTATATTACCCCTGGCCCTGTGTTTTTGTTTGTTTGTTTGTTTGTTTTATTTTGTTGTTACTAGGGTTGTATATTTTTGTATACTTGTTGCTAATCCTAATAAAGGAGGAAGAAAAAAAAAAAAAAAAAAAGGGACTCGAACTTGTCACATGTTGCGTCATGAGGGGGCGCGCGTGGGCGCGGACCTGACAGAGAGCACCGAGTCGGAGCTGCTTATGGTTATGTTGTTCTGTACAATAGCAGATCACGCAAAGTTTATGCAGCAAAATATAACGCAATAAAAAGCAATATATAGCCTAGCTGTAATCGTGAAGTAGAAAAGGAAAGATCCTTTTTTGTAGTCCTCCTGACAAAATATTGAAAGCGATTAATGGATAGACAGATTAGTGATTTAAAATAGGGGTTTCCAATCTTTTAGATGCCACAGAACCTCAAATATGATCATCCTCATACTGTTAGATGTATTATTTATGTTTGTTTATTTAATTTAATTAATTGTTTATGTACATATGCAGATATTTTTTATTATTTATAACTTTTAATTTATTTTAAATTAAACTATTTATTAACTTATTTTATTCCATATTGCTTTTCTCTAAACTTCCACCATTCCTCTAGAACTCTTTCCTTGTGCATATATGCATTTTAACCTAAATTGTGAAAATCCATGTACATTTATTACAGGTATTTGTAAGAATTCACTCGCATTTTTTGTTGTGGTTGTTTCTTACAGAGCCTCCACTCAGGACCATCAGCCCTGAACAACCAGCATCTGCCGTGCACAGTAAATCATTTACTGCAGGCATAAGCACAGCTGCAGTGGTCCTCGTTTTACTGGTCATCATTTGTGCTGTTATTTGTGTCATTTATAGGAAACATGGGAAGGCAAGTATCATTGCAGAGCAATTTATCTTAACCTGCCTTATCCTAATTTGATGCTGCATTCAAAAATATCAATTAAAACTATCCATCATGTACATTTTACAAAGTAAGAATGAAGATAGTAAAAAAAAAACATAAATGTATCAGCTTAAATGCAAAATAACAGAAGCAGTCAAAAGTTTTAAGTATTTCAAATGTATTATTTAACTTACAATCTGCACAGGAGTGGAAAAATGTTCAAATACTCTATTTAATTTCAGAGAACTTAACACAAACACAGGTTTATAAAAAATAAATAAGCTTTTTTTCCCCACAAAATCTGCAATTTTTTGTTGCTGCTAAAACATCCACAGTTGTAACACAACACATCTAGCCCATGTTTCTTTATAGTTCTAGCCTTGAAATCAGGATTAGGCATCACATAATGTCTTCAGGATCATTCACACATGTGAAAACGGCACAAAGGAAGACAAGAATAATATTTTCTTTAGTAAGAAACAAGTACTGGATTTTATCCAGCAAATATGATGCAGGTTGGTGTAATTTTATTGTGCAATGACAATGGAATGGTTAACCCTAAAGTAGTTATAGTTTATATTTTGGCATCTACATCATTATTTTCACTGGATTTGCATGGCATCCTGTAATTGTGTTTTTCTATTGACTTACAGGCAGTGCCTCAAGAGATACACACCCTAAGTGATCATGGAAGTTACTGTATTATTGCAAGCTCATCCAGTGCAGGACTAAGCTGAATGGAATAACAAGACGGGTCGACTGTAAGGAATCAAAAGGTTGTTTCGCTCACTGAGGAATGTAACCACTGGTGCTGTTTTGATCCCTGGTGATTCTGCTGCCTTTGTCCACCAGATAGAGCCAAAGATTTAGAAATACTGTGTAATCTAATAATTTAGCATCAGTATGAATGGCCAAATAACTGTTGCTTTTAATTGTAGCACCATTGTACACTAAAAATACCTCCTTTGTTTAATATAATTAGTTTGCAAAAAAAAGCACACATTTAATTTTGGCTGAATTATGTATTTGTTTTTAAGTATTCATACAGATACTGTAGCGCTTATCGTAGCTTTTGTGATCTCTGAGTAGTAAGCTAGTTCTGTATTTTTATATATTAGATTTGAACATTCAATTCAGTCGAACGGTAAGATTTGAAAATCAGTTGCTGATTTTGGGATCATGTGTGATTTACTGATTTGTTTCTTCAAACCCTAACTTACCAGTGGTGTTTCAAGAAAGTATTTTTTGACTTAATCATTGATATAAGCTGTTGGTTTTGGACCAAGAGGGTTTTTGCACTTGAGAGTTTTTGTTGTTCCTGCATGAATTGTGAGCAGCATTATAATATTTTTGTATTGTCTGTGCATTCTGTTGATTATTTGCATTGTTTGTATTTATTTTTATTATTTAAAATATATTCCAGTGTTACTGAAGATTGTACATTTTGTTAGACTTCTCTGAATAAAGACATTTACAACAGTGTATTTCTTAAAATCTGCATAATCATACAACAAAATGTCTTCAGAGTAAAACTGGTTATGCAGAATTGTCAGTTGATTGGATTGAAATATGGAAGCAGAACCAAAACAGTTGAAAGATAAAAAAGATTAAATAAAAACGTTTTTATCATCTTAAATGCTTTCCTTTCTGTTACTTACAGTACGTGTGTTGGCTAAACTGATTCTTGTGATGTAACAACAGAAAGTAAACATACAGAGAAAAACATTTGCATCTCATTAAAGAAATGATCAGATTGTATATTAATGTCCCTAATTATCATTAACTGTGAGATGTGCTAATTAACTAAATAAAACAGGAAAAAATCTTTTTTTTTTTTTTTAAGTAGTTCTAACATTCTAAATCCCCACACACAAAAATGTGCAAAAAATACAAGTATAAAAACATTTTGTGTATATTGTCTAACAACAAAAAAGTGCAGCAATGCACACTATAAAACTCGAATATGGGCACTAGTTACCAGTTTAACACTGGTTAACCAATCAGTTAAGGAACTATTTCTACCATGACTCTTAAAATTACTTTCATTTGTTTCATTGTCAAATTAAATCATATATTTTATATAATACAACAGACCACATTGGAATAAGCCTCTTTGTTATAATAGAAATTCCTTTTTTTTTTCAGAGTACATAATCTAAATATTTCATACTGCTGTACATGTTACAGAACTTATTTGTTGTTTTAGTTTTATAGAAACTGGTTCACAGTTATAAAATACAACAGAACCAAAATATATATTTTAAGAGTGAAAATGGAAATGGCAATTATACCGAATCTCACAAAAGTATCATCATCACACAGAAGCAGCAGCTCTTCTCTGAGATGAGCAGAACCTCAAATGTTCAATAAGAAACCCAACAGTGGTGATTCCCACCAGACCAGACAGAACCAGACGAATCAGAGCCTCAGTGACGCCACAGTGATCCAGACAATCTGAAAGACATGAGAATTATTTAAAAACATCTTCTGTGCCGTTAAATGTCTTTGTGAAAACACTGCACGGAGGTCATTACGGCAGGCAGAGTTCTGTGGTAAATGTAGTTTGTGTGTCACACCTTCCTGTCGTGGGCAGATCTCTTTCATGTGAAGACGGACGCTCTTATTGCTCACTGGATTCACAGCCGTGCAGCTGTAGGTCTCTGGATCGTTATAATGAAGCTCTAATGCTAAACTGAGGTTGATGCTGAGATCAGGATTGCTGGTCTGATTCAGCATTTCACCTCCTTTATACCACGAGATAGACACGTCTCGATCATTCTTCACAGAGCAGACCACAGAGCAGAAATCCTCTGTTTCCTGTTGTGTACCTGAAAGACATGAAAGACACTGACATTTCTACTGCTATCATAATTTACAAAGAGACCAACAAACCGCATCATATCAAAACTGCTCAAATGGGTGTAATTTTTTCTTTAGTATTGTTGCAGAAGTTCTGGAATCATTTTATGGAAGCTTATTTCCACCATGGAATAAAAACATAAAAAGGTAATTGTGAGTTTTACATCTCACAATTCTGACTTATTTTCCCAGAATTCCAAATTTACGTCACAGAATTCTGACTTTTCACCCAGAATTCTAAATTTACATCTCGCAATTCTGACTTTTTTTCTCAGAATCTTAAGTTCACATCTCGCAGTTCTACGTTCTTTCTCAGAATTCTGAGTTTACATCTTGCAGTTCAAAAGTATCATCATCACACAGAAGCAGCAGCTCTTCTCTGAGATGAGCAGAACCTCAAATGTTCAATAAGAAACCCAACAGTGGTGATTCCCACCAGACCAGACAGAACCAGACGAATCAGAGCCTCAGTGATGCCACAGTGATCCAGACAATCTGAAAGACATGAGAATTATTTAAAAACATCTTCTGTGCCGTTAAATGTCTTTGTGAAAACACTGCACGGAGGTCATTACGGCAGGCAGAGTTCTGTGGTAAATGTAGTTTGTGTGTCACACCTTCCTGTCGTGGGCAGATCTCTTTCATGTGAAGACGGACGCTCTTATTGCTCACTGGATTCACAGCCGTGCAGCTGTAGGTCTCTGGATCGTTATAATCTTGCAGTTCAGATTTTTTTTTACTGAAACCACATACACATGCAGAATTTAATTGCAGATGCAATTGCAATTTATAAACTCGCAATTCCAAGAAAAAGGCTGAATTTTAAACTTGCAATTGAGAGAAAAAAGGCTGAATTGTAAGCTACAAAAGTCCACGGTAAATTGTATTATTTCAGATAGAAATCATAAAGACAGACCTGTCGATTGGTGCACACTAACTGATGAGCTACTCCTGATGGCAGGTACAGAGACGGGTGCTTTAGGACAAAAGGAAACATGCACATCACCTTAAAGCCATATCTCCCTTAAAGAGGCCAGTATTGCAGTGCAATAATAACTATGGAACCAAATCTAATAAATTATTATCCTATAATTTACATGTTATTTTTCAACAGAGGCTGCAGCTGTAACTTACCATAAACATGGACTTTGTATCTCCGTCCGGTGATGTGTGCACCGGTGATGATTAAGGCTTCATACAGTCCAGACTGATTAGTTCTGATGTCTGTGACGGTCAAAATTCAATTTTTTTGGTCTAACTGCACTCTGCCAGTGAATTGCGTGTTATAATGAGTGTAAATTTTCCCTTGATGCATCTGTGCGACACGAGTATTTTGTCTGCCACTTTCAAACGACCACAGTATCTGAACGTCTCCCTTTAGATCATCAACTCCAGGTTGCAGACTGAGAACACCTCCCTCCATCACTTTAACTGTTTCAGCATCATCAGCCTCTCCACCCACTGAAGCAGTATGAAAGCAGGTGAAATATACAGGTAAACAAATTACTAATATGGTATTGACAATAACGGTTTCTAAACACCTGTTGAATTTCAATGGTCTGATGTTCTGGGCAACCAACAGTTCACCACATAAACACACTGCGGTCGACACAAACCTGTGTTTAATAATACAGTCCAGGTCATTTATATTTTCATGCATACATTTCAGTAAATGCAAATTATTAATTTTACGGGACCTTTTGAATCACAGTTGTGAATTATTTTATCTATAAAACAGTGCATGGTTGTCTAACCATTTCATATTGGATTTGTTGAAATCTCCCAAAATCCATTGCAGCATGCATGAATTATGCGATTACTATTATAGGATGACTGTTTTTGAAACCATAGACTTAGATGCAAGATTCTTCAGAGAAGATTGTAGAGTTCATTTCATATTAATTGTCTTAACCAGATTTAAACAAGAAGTGTGGTATAGTGGCTAAAAATCAAGACTGCCTGACCGACAAACAACTGATTGAATAATGATAAGGTTTTGAATTAATAGCAAGATCTTCGATTTCTTCTTGTCATGCATGTTTGTATTGCAACACTAGCAGGTCTGCGGTTTGACAGAACATGATCTAAAGAGGGATAAAGGAAGTCTTTTTGCGGTTTCAGAC